GAGCAAGTGGCTGTATAAAAAGTGCAAAGAGAATTGGGCTCAGAGGGCATCGTTGTCGGCATCCTCGTTCCAGAGGGAATGTGCCTGAAAGGCCGCCGTTTATTTTGATCTGGGCTACTGGTGAATTGTATATTGATTTTAAACAACTTATGATTGTATTATTAAAGCCAAACCGCTGTAGAACCAGATATAAGTATTCCCATCGTACAGAATCAAAGGCTTTTTCCACATCAAAGCTGATTGTTAAAGAGTTCAAATTATTTCTGCTCATAACGTCGAACAAGTGTAACGCTCGCCTCACGTTATCCTGTGGACGTCTATTTTTAATAAATCCTGTCTGGTCTGTATCAATTAGTTCGGGGATAATATTTTCTAGTCTACTGACAATTATTGAAGTGAATATTTTATAATCAGTGTTCAAATGGGCCGGTATGAGCTACACTCACTTTTATCCGTTCCTGGTTTTGGTATAACGGATATTATCGCTCGTTTCCAGGATGGTGGAATCTCACCCCCTTTAAGCACGTGATTAAAACATTTTAACAGCAAAGGTGTTACAGGCTTCCTAAAAATGTTACACCATTCAGCTGGTAATCCGTCTCCACCTGGTGACTTACTTGCTTTCAGTTTTGAGAAGGCTTTATTGACCTCTGCTGGTGTTATATCTGCAGTTATCCACTTATTTTGTTCCACGCCAATTGAGGGGAGATCCAAAGAGTATAGAAACTGCCTTACTGAGGGAAGCTCGGTTAATTCGGGCTGACTATATGATTTCCTGTAATATATTTCAAATGATTTATGTATTTCGTCTGGGGAGAAACACATCTGGTTGGAAATGGGATTTTTAATTTTAAAGATGGATCTGTCTAGTTGTTGTTTTAGTTGCCAGGCTAATATTTTTTTTGCTCGAGGTCCATTTTCATAATAAGTTTGTTTAATATATTTGAGTTTAAGTATCACCTTATCGTTGAGTTTCCTATTTAGGTCCATTTTTATTGCAGCAATCTGCTGTAATAGAGTAGGGTCTTTGGTTTCAACATGCTTCTGCTCTAAAATGTTTAGTTGTTTAGTCAAGTCATTGAATTGCTCAGATTTGTGCAGCAGTTTTCTATGAAATGTTTTACCTCACACAATGTTCATCATGTTTGTTACTAGAAACGTTTAATTACATAAAATGTTTACTTCAAAATAAGATCTGTTTCATTACATGTTTATTTCTTACCTGAAACATGTTAAAACATCAAATATTTATTACAAATATGATCAAGTTCATCGTGTTTACATGTTCCCTGAAGTGATGAATCAAATGTTTCATAAATGTTTACCACATGAGTTTTTATTACATGAGAAAAAACAAACACTTATATATTATTCAAATGTAAAAATATTTCAAAACAATGAGTTCAGCAAATATATTTATTTTTCCAATCTACATTTTACATATTTCAGAATTGCAGTGTCATATTAACATGTGCAAGTTTCATTAGCATTAGGTTTTACAACCACACTAGAACACATGTTCACTAAACTGTAGCACGCACGCACGCACGCACAATCCGTGTGTCACCTCTTCACCCTCACATGTAAGCAGCAACCTAACTGGTACAGTTCTGTGTTTCTCATGCCACCAGTCACTGTTTCCACATGAACTCTAAGGTGTGCTCGTGTGTGTTCAACATCCTGAGCATCACGTTCACATCTCCATTTAGTGACTGATGGGATTTGAACCTCAGCACATCGTTCATTTATACTTGTGTTGGATGTAACTGGGACCCTGTGTGCACAGTTTTGTTCCACCTCATGTACAACATGTGATGTGAATGACAATAAAGAACCTTGAGCTTGACTCCCTGTCTTTAATATCAAAGCCTCTGTTACAACACAACGTCCCCGGGTAATAATCTGGAGAGAAGACCACAGCTTCTGTTGTGAGCTTGTCTGATGGACGTCCATCCCTTGGACAGAAAAGAAAGACACAGGTCTTAGACAGAGTTTGATGTGACACCTTCAAAACATGCAGAACAGATGCATTAGTGTTAGTGGAACCATTGAAATTGTGAGTTTTTTAACGCTGGCAGAAAATACCTAACAGTGTTAAACAATGACAACAAGATGGCAAAGCAATGAAGTCCTGTATAATATTTAATTCTTTAAAAATTATTTGTCCAGCTGTTTTTGATTCAGCTCTGACCTGAGCTCCCTGTTCTCCTGTAACAGGTGGTTTATTTCTGCTCTTCTTTATTCACACATTGTATTTGTAGCTTTTAGCTGCTGCTTCATGTTCCTCCATCATCTGCAGCCTCACTGAGCTGCTCTCCTGGAGTTTCATCTGAAGGTTTGTCTTGAAGAGGACACATCACAACACACATCAGTATTACTACAGTAAAAGTGACAACACTAGAAACTTTAAACAGTTTATTTCACAATAACACAGATGTCCACTCTGTCTAAACTCAGACTAAGTTACATGAAAATATAAACCTGACCTAAACCAGGTTGACCCACTTCTATGAACATGAACTAAACATGAACTAAACATGAACTAAACATGAACTAAACATGAACTAAACATGAACTAAACATGAACTAAACATGAACTAAACATGAGAACACCCCGACAAAATCATGGCACAAATTTATGGCACGACACCAACAAACTGAATTTAGACACTCACCAGAATGTCTGGAACAAACTAG